TTAAAACATATCTCAAGCAAATATGTGATAAAAGGTCACAATATTATTAATTACATTTTGCTCAAATACAAATTTATGGGTGTGTAAACCTGATTTCTGAAGATCTTGCCATGTTTCTTCTTGGAAATCTTCATCTTGTCATAGTAACAACAATTTGTACAAACAAATTTGATTTCGTTTATTCAAACTACATTTTGAAGCGAAAACAACCGGGGAGAAAGCCAATTTTGGGATTCCTGTGTGCCTGATTAAAGTCTTCGTGATGACCTAGAGGGAGTAAGTCGTTCGAGAGACAATGATAGATACCTACAGTGAAATGACAGTAAAAATCAAATCTGAAACAAGAGAACCTGGAATTTGAACAGCTACAATCCCGGACAAAACTGTTGAGACATTTCTTGAAATAGATTGAATTTCGATGACCTATCGGAGTTTTTCTTTAAAAAATCTCCGCCTTTCCCCCTCAAATCAATGTTGAAGGGACTGAACATTCATGCACACCCTTCTAACACAACATTGAACTGTGGGAGGAGGGGAGGATCAGAAATAGTGACTTTTTAGAAAGATGACAATTGGGAGTATTTAGGCGCGAAAAATGCCACTGTCTCAACAGGTTTTGTCCGGGATTGTAGCTGTAAATACTACCTACATATATTGAAAGAAGTTACTTGCTTTGGCCCATAAATAACTTTGCCTGTTCCTTGATATAGATCTAGATCTGCGCAACACTTGTTCTTTCAGAATAATCTCTTTGGCTCCATTTTTATAGCCAAGACATAAAATAACTTTCAAATCGTCAGAATGATCTCTAGTAGTATTAGATTTGCCGTTCCAGGTTGGATTATCCCACGTTCAGAAAACATAGATTTGTAATGAAATATGGGGAATTTGTACAGTAAACTTTATGGTCGAGTTACTCCATCTACGTCATCAACCCAGGCTCCCTCGCACTCGGCCAAAAATCAATTGGCTGAATTAAACGAGCATAAAAAATATAAAATTTGGAAATTCGAATTTTTTTATGTGAATTCCTAAACTTTTTTTCCAAATGTAAAAAAATTGGTTGAGGTGGACGAACGGATAAATTTGGAACTTGTGTTCACAAGTCCAGAGGTCAACGATATAACAGTACGTCAATACGTTCGTTTCTGCTGTTCAGGCTAGTGTTTCAATCTCTCTTGGCATTTCAACCGATGCTAATCTTTTTTTCGGCTTTCACATTTCCTCTTCCTATTTTTAGCTTTATATGCTTCATATTTAGCTGGATTTGCTCTTATTCTTGCCCTGTATCTGTTTCTTTCTGCTCCACTAAGTGGCTTTTTGAATGGATTCACTGTGCTCCACTAGCAATGTGATCAAAAATACCACCGGTCAGTAATATACCCCCTGAGTGGTATGCTCAGGTGCATGCAAGCATAGGTTAGAACTGCTGACATACAGATATGACTGTCAAATGTGACATCTAATGCTTCAATGTCAATTTCATCACATACAGATGGAAAAGCAATAAAATCCCCCTTTTTTATTATTACCCACATTGCATAACATCCGTGACATTTATTGTAACATCTGTGGCAACACTTTTCAAACGTTGCTAAAATAGTGATAACACAAATAAATTTGAGAACTTTATATTTAGCAAACATGTTCCCTAGGCTAAGCCCTTCTGTGGCACCTTTTGTTAAAAATCTTCAATTTTCAAAGGAATTCAGCTTTTATTTGAATGTACTTGAACAGTTGGTTGTTTTCATGTAACATTAGTTGCCATGTCTATTTTTCTATCCCCAAAAGGGTAAATTGAGAAAACTCATTTAGATATTAAACCACTAATCTAGACTCATTAATGTCTTAAAGCAAAGCCACAGAAATTGTTTGAATATTTTTTGCATAAGTTTTAATGTCTCAAATTGTGTCTGAATGTAACGTCTGTGATGATGGAACTGCGCTGATACATTTTAACCAGATCAAAAAATTACAAAGTTTGCTTCAAGATGCGTCCAAGATATTATGTTTTTGGCTACAGGTCGACAGCGCACCAGAAAATGTTTTAATATATTCAGGCAGATGTAACACATTCCCTGAATGTACTAGTAGCGCTTTTATTGGAATACGCAAATATACAAGTCTTTGCACTGATTTTTTTTAAATTTTCTTATTGATTTAAAGTAATTTGTAAGTTCTGAGATAGTTCTTTGATTTTTTGTTAGGAGGATTTAACTCATTCCATCATGACATGAAGGAAAAGAATGCAAAATGTTTGATTCGCTTTCGAACATTAAAGGTGCTTAATGAGCGCATGTGCCTACTAGAATTGTCTGCATATTTAGAGCAATTCAGTGCTATTGGTTAATTAATATGTGAAACACAAATATTTAGAGTCAATCATTGTTTAGTTTGGCACTGTTGTCACACCAATATAGGCGGATCTTTGTTAACAAAATTTTGATAATTAGCATAAAGTTTAAATTAACGAATACTGTAAAAGAAGTTTATAATGTAAAAGGGCTTATTAAGAACTATAAACTACGAAAGTTTGAGGTCATTACATGGAATGGTTTATGAGATATTAGCGTTCAAAGATGCTAAGTGGCAAAAGCGCTAATTAGCTCATATAATCTCTCTAAAAATTGGAGTTTTTAAAACAGTTTTACGCAAAAAGTATTTCATATGAGTAGCTCAAAATTGCGTGGAAAGCTTATTGTGCTATGTTGTTTCAATATTCAGTGATTTACTGATAGTTAGTTATGCTAATGATATGTTAATGAACCGAAATGTAAACAAATTATTCGCCTATAACTGAGATATCACAATATGAAAGAGGAAGTGGAGAATAGACCCCTTGCATGTGACGTCAAAGCAGCTTCATCTGGAGGACAAAACAAAAGATTTTTGCCATCTTGGAAAGTAGAATCTATTCATTCGTCCTCCAGTTGGAATTGCATTCACACGAACTGTAAGGGATCTATATCAATGTATTTTATTTAATTTTTTATTGCTAATAACAAAACAAAGAATGCGTCATTAAAATACTAAGTAAAAGGGCAAAAAAATATTGGTATAAAATAAAATGTAAATAATAGTTAATATTACTCAGTATACTTTGAACAATGCAAGTTCTAACTATTTCATGGTCATAACAAAAATAAAATAAAATGTAAATAATTGTATGAGGAAGTAGCTGATCCCATTAAAGAGTGCTCAATACACATAAAGTGTAGAGCTAGTTATATATATAATATCAAAGAGGCAAGATTTTGCTGTTACTCCGAGTTTCGTGCTACGCACTCATCAGACAGTATTTAATGATATTTTTCAGTGAAGAAGAAAAGTCTGGTATATGTATATATAAGTATACATGTATATATAATATCAAAGAGGCAAGATTTTGCTGTTACTCCGAGTTTCGTGCTACGCACTCATCAGACAGTATTTAATGATAAACATTCCTATAATCTAGATATATATACATGGTATAGAACAAAAGGMTAAGTGCTAGGCTATTTACATACAATACGTGATAGTTATGTTGGAAACAATAGGTGTGAAGGTAAAAATTACAAAGGAGAGTATACTATTAATTAAAACTGCGTAGGTGTGAATACAATAGGCTGTAGAGGTGTCAAGTGTTCTTCAGGTAGAATTTGTTTTCGTGTCGACATTTAGAGACGAGTTCTGATCTTTTGTTTAGTATATTGTCGTTACTGTGTTTAATTATCATAAGTTTTTCTGTAAGGCAGAGGTCGCATCGTTTGGATATGTTGTTGTAGGGTCTTGCACGGCTGATGATTGTCCATTTGATGTTGAAGTCTTGTTTTTTGTCTTTTAGTTGCCAGATGAACTTAGAAAGTTCGGTGCTGTTGAAGTGTTTTCTGTGTTTGAATGTAGATTTGCTGCGAGAATCTTTGTTTGAATGTTCCTTCTGTCAGTCCGATGTAGTTCTTGCGTGGTTGTGTTGCTGGTTGTGACTTGCGCGTTGTAGATTACACTGGTAGTTAAGCATTTGTTGTCTAGCGGGCATTGGTCTTTATTGCGGCAGTTGCATTGTTCTCCGGTGGTTGCRTTGGCGTTGTTGTCGGCGTTTGTTACTTTCATGTTGTGTTTGTTGATAACTGTTTTCATGTTGTCCATACAGCTGTAGCTGACTTTTACGTTATTTTTGTTGAAGAGGCTGTGGTATTTATGCTGGTTCGGGAAGTGCTTAGATATGAGTTTCAGGAATGTTCTGCCAATGTTCGTCTTAACGTTTTTACTGAAAGGAGGGTTGTACCATATAATGTTTCTTTGTCTGTTGCGTCGGGGGCGTGCTGGTTGATTGTCTTTGTTGTATATTAGTGTTGCAGAGTGTCCGCTGGCTTTCAGAGCAGTTTCGTAGATTGGTTTGGCCTTGTTAAATTCGTGTTCGTTGCATGAGTTGTCGGAGATGCGGCGGTTGATGGATGCTGGAAGTTGCTTTAATATGTTAGGCGGGTGGTTAGACTTTGTGTTGATGTACAGTGGTTCGTTGTTCGGCTTTCTGTAGGGGCAGTAGGTACCTTTTGTTAGGTCGAAAGTNTATCGTTCAATGGTGAAGTCGATGTTGTCCTTGTCCTGTTCTTTTAGGTGCTTGTGGAAGTCATCGATATTGCTCTTCTTGATAACACAGATTGTATCATCGACATAACGTTTGAAGATTCTAGGTGGTTCAAGAAACGTCGAGAGAGCTCTAGATTCGATCACTTCCATTACAAGGTTTGCGACAGCTACAGATATAGGTGACCCCATAGCTGTACCATGTATCTGCCTGTAGTACTTGTTATTATAGCTGAATTCAGTGGAATTTAGACCAAAAGACAATAGTGAGGTTATATCAGACGTGGTCAAACGTGTTCTATCATGGAGACTTGGATCCTGTTGTAATCTATCATTAGCGGCAGTGACAGCTATATCAGTTGGTATAGAGGTGAACAATGAAACAACGTCAAATGAGACAAGTTCCTCGTCACTAGCTAATGTTAGAGTACTGGCTAGATCTACCCATTCCTTGGTATTCTTGAGGTGTTGATCAGAGTTACCTACTAAGGGGGATATTATTTTGACCAGGTGCTTCGAGAGTTGGTAAGTAGGGAACCCACATAACTTACAATAGGTCTTAGTGGTACACCGTCCAAGGAGAAGTGAGCACATCTCGGCTGTAAAACACCTCAATGCGAAGAAGTCTGTGCTCGCTGAGCATGCAAACAACACTGGCCACTCGATCGACTGGGCCGCTACTTCAGTAGTAGCTACAGAAACACAACAAAGGAAGTGGCTGGAGGCTTGTCAAATTGCCAAGGGAAAGAACATATTGTTCAATAGGGACAAAGGTCGAACACTGCCTRGAAACTATTTGTGCTTGCTCAATAATTAATTATTATTCTCATCTTTCTTGATTTCATTTGTAACAGCGCGCACATTGTCTTTATTGCGCGCGCAAAAGTAGCTTCATTTCAGTTTGAATGCGTTTTTGTTTTTGTAACGTCTTTGTGTTCCCTGAAGATGACCACTTAGGTCGAAAGCTTGGAAAGAAGTTTAAAATTATTCATGGTTGATTAAACAAACTGCGTAAAAATATGAAAAATACAACCAACAAAGATCTTTTAAAAAAGAATATTCTGTAGTGTTAAAAAAGAGATTCTTAGTTTGGATAAAATATAGTAAGAGACACCTTCTCCTTATTGTTATCAAAGTCAACATGGGCAACAAAATGTATAGGACAAGCTTTATTCTTTTGAGTCAAATTACAAGATTTGTAAGTACAGTAGGCAACATTATCTGATGTTGCGATTTCAACTTTGTTATTGCTCGTATTGAGTTTTGTTTGTGTTGTGTTTGTTCATGTGTGGAGTCACGCATATCATGAAGACAAAAGACGTGTTCATTTGCGTATAAAAGCGCTACATATTTCATTCAAGGAATGCATTACATCCGCCTGAATATATTTTCGATTCACAATGGATTCACACAGTAGTTCATGTTGACATATTCACTCGTGTTAAAGGGCTACTTGGACGAAAATTGCAAAACATTAGAAATCAAATGGAGCTATCCATATGGGTGAATAAAAGCAACAGATTTAAAGAAAATATTGATGCAAATCCTTAATAATTTGRGCAAAAAATGTTGGAGTAGATGACGTCATTTACTCAATCCTTTTGTTCTTCCATCTTTTGAATCAAAATTTCTCTGATGTGCGATAATTCCAAGACAAATATTTTTACGCAATTGTTTTTAATAGATATAAATGAGTCATATGTTTGTATTGCTTGAAATAAGGCCATTTTCATGCAAGTAGCATATCACGTCAAAATTCGCTACCAGACCGTAACGGCCTTCATCTTCCAAAATGGCTGCCGGTTAATGGCGGATCGAAAATCGACGACAATAATGGCAAATTTCCACATGTTCTCCTCATCTAAAATGTAAAACATCAAAAACTAAAAAACGAAATAAACGCCAATCCTCGGATCTTATCGTACCCGCACTTTAATCCAGGATGCCTATTTGCCATTACTTAGTAAGTTGTGGTTGTACAAGAATTTAAGTACTAGACTTTATTTGTGAATGAACTAATAAGGAACATGAAGAGTAAAATCTAAATCAACAAAATGTTACATTGAAGAGCATACACAATTCTCCTTAACATAATTACTTAATTTTTTGTATTCCTTTCCAAGATGGTTTGCAGTATCTTTGATGAGTTTATCATCTTTCAGTGCAAATCCAAAGTATATAGCACTCTCTTTGGGAATATTGTTAATAGGCCATCTTGGCCATGGTGCCCACTCTTTTCATTCTAAATTGAAAGCAACCAAGTCTCCTATAGCCACAAAAGCATATTTTTCCACTGAACATCACTTTCGGGTCTTTTAAAAATAAAAAGAGTAAAATATAAAAGATTATTTCAGTTTTCAATACTTTGGTTGAAATTAGAAAGTGTAAGTGGTAAGTTTAAATATAGTAGAGATCAATTTAATATAGAAATCAATAATTAATATAGTGATCTAATAGAATTGTCAACTGCATAGAACTTCATCAAAAGGGTCTACAGTAATATATTCTTGTATACGAACCCGTTAAAATTTTCATTTAATGCTGTAATCCATCTAAGAACCTATTTAGTATAAAATTTGTTAGGTTCTTTCATGCATTTGTGTGATTGTTGTAAAGCGTAATGTACTATTAGTAGTAGGATGCAAGACCGTCCGTTTAGCCCTTTCTAAAAGTACTTGACATAGATTGCAGAGGCGAGCCTACAGTGTACCAGACTTTATCTGGCATATCGATGGGTATGATATGCTAAAACTCTTTGGATTCGTATTAATGTATGTATTACGGATATAGTAGACGTGTCATGTGGATTGAGGTTGGGACATCAAATATGGCTCTATCGTTGTGGCAATATATTTTATTAACTTTTATTTATCAAATTTCTGGTGCATCATTTGTAATGCATGCAGTTTGTGGTACTGAAAATTTAGCTTTTGCAGCCACACAACGTTGTTTGATATGCTATTGTACTGATGGACTTGCTAAAGACAAATCTTTTATGTATGGAAAATCAGTTTTCAATCAGAGAATGGAGATATGGTGGGCCAACATAATACATCAGGATTGCCTTTAATTTTGCTGCATACCTATAATAGCGGAGCTCCCGCGCGGGCCCAAGGCCCGCGCTAGCGGAGCACCATAGCTAAGAAAAAATGGTATACCATCGAGGTGATTTTCCATGGACCGACACAGGGTTCCCGCGCGTACGTACATTTCCGTCCTGGAATCCGTGTACCACCACAGGAAACCCATAATCCGCTCGAAAAGGAAACAAAGCGCCAATTATTTGTTGAAAAATCGAAAAAAATTTTCCTTAAACGTTTATATTACATATTGATAATATTAGAACAATTAATCACAAGGAAAAAAATCCACTGAAGAGCGAAATAACAGCACAGAAATATTCCCGCCAATTTTGTCATAACTTCGACGCGTCCGCACATCCGGGAAATCGATTTGCGAAGATGAAAAGCAATTTAAGCCCATCTTAAAAGTGATATTAGAAAAAAGGATTTTACTTTTATATTTCGACAACAAGAAAGAGATGATACTTTATTGGAAATACTTAAATAACATGGACCAATATGGGAAAAAGCAGGGATCTATGCGAAGTTCTTTTGTCGACTAAAAGTGTGGACATTTCGAAACCAAGACCATGCTAGCAGTTAGATTGAGAGAGATTAAAAACAAAGAATCTACAGTCTTGAATGACTTAATAAATTGATGAAACCTATGCTTGAAACAAGTATGGCTCTGTTGAAGATGACCTTTGAACGATAATTTATCGGAAGTTCGATAATGAAGGTAAAAAATATATTTTTGTATACAGTTTTCTGTGATAAGTTTAAGTGAAGTTCGAGTAGTCCGGGTTCAAACACCGATTATTGAAACAATATTGATTATTGCTTGCTTATGTAGACTACTTTTTGCCGAGAAGCTTTCAGTTTACTTTTAATTATAATTTTAAACTTCATCCAACGGAACAAAATCTACCGAAGTCAATATAAGCTTAATAGTACGAACTAAATTCTCATAAACACACTCTTTATAATATTTGTTCGCATGTCAACAAAACTGTTGTAGCTCACATTCCTTAGCAGTACCAGATAATCATTGTCAGCTTCTATATTGCTATTGGAGCTCCGCTATTAGGTGTTACCTAATTTTTATATTAAGGAATGATCTTAGAGCTGCACAACTATGGGAATACATATCCCATTAGACACTCCAAGCATCAACAATCCCCTTCAGGTCGACCAGAAATATTGTGGTTTCTACCAGAAACTGAAGGTCAACAAGACTTTTGAATGTGAAAAGAGTACTGAAAAATTTAAGGGCATAATGAAATTAGAGATTTTTTTTTAGAGTTATTGGCACAAGCTATTGCTGCTTAAGTTCATGTATTGATTTTTAATAAGAGTCAAAATTAGGTATTGTGCCACATTTATGAGCTGCAAATTTGAAATCATTTTTTCTCCTATTCACCACTTTTTGTGACGAAGGCCTTCTGGGAAGGCTTCGTCACTATGTCATCGTGCAGGTAAATAAGAGTGTAACCACTTTAACAGCCCTACCCACCCCTCGACATGTTTGTATTCAAAAGCCCTATCCAGCTCCCCCACGCGTTTATATCGGTAACTTAAAACACTTACAATACAAGGAGATCTTCTCGGTGTATCGGAGATTTATCAGAGTGATTTCGAGAGAAAAAGTGATTGCTGTTCTTCATGTGAAAGAAACACGTATTAAAGGAGATCTCTTCTCGTTGTATCGGAGATTTATCGGAGTGATTTTGATGGAAAAAGCGATTGCTGTTGTTCACGTGGATTCGCACGCTCGTGTGTTGCTTCGAAGGTGAGTTTTATACAATGTTTTCAAACTGCTTTGTGTCTACAAGTAGACTACTTTCTATGCATTTGTAAATTTGGTATTTCTAAAGAATTGCTCATATTTTGGGTCGATTTGTGGGCACTTTATGTGGTTTGCTTGCCAACCAAAGCTCGATTGCATCGCTTCGCTTATTACACAACATCAGACCTGACCGCAGGTAATAACTAGAACTCCTTCGGCAGACCAAACATCAGAGCAGTGGAACTCAAATGTGCTCCGCGGCACACTAAAAATTTAGGGTTTTTTATCTTTAATTAAAAACATGATAAGTCTTATATACATAATCAAATGTCTTGGGACAATAATAAATTAAGACATTGCAGTAAATCACCAAATTAAAAATACAATGTATTTACTCAATTATTTAAAATTATTATTATTTTATTGTTTCAGAGTTCAAATTACAAAGAACCATTGCAATACTGTGAAGTTCATCATCTTGAATATCTCTCTTTCCAGTTTTAAAGAAAGTTGCTAAAACAAAATACTGAAGCTTTTTCTTTTTTTTCACAGTAGATGTACTACACTTTATATAGCTAGTCTAATATACATTTTCCATTGTTATTGTTTTTTAAAGTCACCAGTGATAGTTGACCCCCACACAAAGTGCTTTTCATAAAACTATGAAACAAATTCTCATACACTAAAGACCAAAAATAAAAGAAAGAGTAATACAGTGCACTTGCAGTGGATTTAAGCTTATCACAACCCTCTATTTTTTTTATTAAAATCAATAATCAGCCTGAGTCACATGCAGTCCTCGACTGCCTATTTTTTTACCTTTGACACTCATAAACAATTTTCAATCCAATAGTACATAATATAATTTCGATAATGATGAATCATTTCAAATTATGTTTTACACGCTGGGTTAATTTATTTTTCTCATAACAATACACAATGTCAACAGTTGTTGTTTTTGGAAAAAAAGTTATCACTTTTTACTAGTAAAATAATAACAAAAGATATCAATGTTTTCTTAAAAAAGTATTCTCAAAAGAGAAATATTGATTGTCAGGACGCCAAAATGAAAATTGTGTTAAAAAGGCTATTTCTGTTTTCAAAAGCACTATCCCTACTCTACAGGGGCATCCTATGAAAAATACTTTTAACTCTAACATTAAGCTAATAAATGCAGACGTAGTCAATTGCGCAAAATATGTTTATTTTAAGTAGTAGGGTTTTTTCGAATCCTTTGAAATTAACGATTAAATTTCAAGAGGTGTAATTTCACATGTCAATTAGCTATTCTTGAATTGATTAACCGAGCTGAGCTATTATTTCTAATATATTCAAATCCATAGATCGGTATTGTATGCTGTAAAACCTGCGTAAAACAATTTAAATTAATTCAACTCTATTTTTCAAATTCTTTATGTGCATTTTTTTAATAATTAAACTTTGTCCCGTTGCTAGGTGATCGTTCGAGATCTATCGTTATACTGAGGCTAGTGATATATTGATTATCCGACAGCAAAGAATTCACGACCACGAAAGAAAACTAACGGTTAATACATTTTGGAAATGATGGCACTTGGTTTGTAAATCGTTAGAGGTGCGCACGATACATTGCGGACTTTAAAGCATTAAGCATTCTGAAAGCCATAAATGCTTTAATCTCTATTAGAACACAGGACACCCCAGCCTTTAGGCTTATGAGTGAAAGGGTAATTGAATTGAACGACCACAATTTTTGCACCCAGATTCTTAACATTTAATCGTGAATAAATGGCTATACAAGAAGAAGAAGGTCAACTGAAACAGATTACAAAATTATTACTTACATGAAAGGATTAGAAAAAAGGAGAAAATGAAGATTACATATACTTACAAATTTGTGTTCTTTTCGTCGTAAAAGTTCAGCGTCAACTAAATTTAATTATCATATTCTTGTCTATTTGTTGAATGTTATATACCCCAAGGGGGCTTATCAAAACTAATAAAGATTAATACAATAAAGGTCATGTCCAAAACACTCCCTCCTGGTGTGGAGATTTCTTAAATCGAACCACCATACAGTTCTTCTTTGGTCTTTATGAGACACAACTTGTGGATTGGTCTTAGATATTCTGTGTTTCCAATCTGGATCTTTGCTTTTCTTACAAGATTGTCCTTGCCAGGATGGACTTCTTTCACAAGTGCCATCTTCCACTTCCTTCTTGGGGTTGTGTCCAGCTCTAAAACCAGGTCTCCTGGTTGTAGATTCTCCCTTGTTCGGAACCACTTGTTTCGTTCTAGAAGTGTAGGCGCGAAGTACTTTTTCCAGCAAACCCAAAATTCATCTATTCTTTTCTGGGTACTCTTGCAAAGATGTCGCCGATCTACTCTCACTTCAGCATCTGCTGCAGGTGGTGGAATATGAGTTGGACCAATTAGTAAGTCGTTTGGAGTTATGGGTGGAGCCTCCCATATATCACTGGAGCTAGGATACAAAGGTCGACTGTTGATTATGTAAGAGATCTCGGCGAGGAATGTCCTCCATTGCTCTTCAGTGAACGATCTATCCTTGCAAGTGGCATTCATAGCATGTCTGACTGATTTAATTAGGCTCTCGACAACACCATTCATGTGACTGGCGTGAGGTACGTTGAATTCCCATTTGAATTGACAAGAATAGTCGTTGGCAAGTTTGGTCTTTATCTCTTCCATGTCCCAGTTCTTTAACGTCTCCCTGAGGTAGCGCTGTGCTCCTTGGAAATTCGTCCCACAATCTGACCAGCAGATTAAAGGGTGACCACGTAGGCTGACAAACCTTCTAAAGGCCATTAGAAAGGTATCTGAGCTTCTATCTGTGCAGAGTTCAAGATGTATGGCTCTTGATGAGGTACAAGTGAAAATGATAACCTGCGCCTCCTTAAGCGTCTTCCTGCTCAACTTNGCAAATGTGTAGGTGTTCTAGGAGGAGATGAACCAACCTGTYGTTTTTGGGGAGAATAATTGGGTTCCTCATCTCGCTTGGTAGAGTTCGTATATTTTCCAATCTTCCGTGTGCTCGGATAATGCCGRCCGGTCCAATTTYTGCGATGATTTTTGGATCGACTTGGGTTTTCTTGAGGTCCGACTGACACCATTTGAAAAGCTGGTTTTCTGCTTCCTTTAGCTCCTGAACTGAAATAGGGCCACTCTTTCTCATCCACGATCTGGCGTTATAAACAAACCTTAGCACGTAGGCTAATGTTCTTCTCGTCTTTGCAAAGGTTGAGCATGAACTCATCAGGTGCTTGAGAATAGGATTATCTTTGCCTTGCTCCGAGTCAGTCGTAACACAGTGAATATCGTACTCACAATCTACCTCAGCTTCTTTTTCATCTTCCTGTAAGGTTATTACGGGCTGATAAAGGAATTGTGGCCCTTTCACCCACTGCTCTAAATCTTGTATCTTCATACCTCTGGTTAAGCAATCCGCAGGATTGTCCTTGGACTGAATATATCTGAAAGTATCGGCGTCTGTATTCTCTTGGATTTCCGCAACTCTCGCGGAAACGAATGGTTTAAAACTTCTTGGTGAAGTCTTCACCCATGATAGTACCGTTGTGGAGTCTACCCAGAAATATTTTTGCCATTTTTGAATAGCCATGAAATCCAAAGCATCCTTGCATGAATTGTACATTCTGGATAATGCGAGACATCCCATTAGTTCTAACCTTGGTATGGATTTCTTTTTCAATGGTGAAACAAAGGCTTTAGCAAGTAGTGGAACACAATAATATTCTTCTTTACGTAACATCCATCTCAGAAACAGGACAGCTCCATAGSCCAATTCACCTCCATCGCTAAAACSATGTAGCTCAGGGTAACCAATGGCGTCACTTGGCCTGAGCTTTCTGTTGAAGGTTAGAGACAGCAATTCATTCAATATCTCGACGTTTTGCACCCACTGRTGTTGAATGCTATCGGGGAGTACCTCATCCCAGGAAAACCCTGAGCTCCATAGCTCTTGAAGATTGATTCTGAACTTTATGGTGACAGGCGCGACCAATCCAATAGGATCCCAAATCTTTGATAAAATGGAGAGACAACTTCTCTTCGTTAGATTGTTGGATACTGAAATCTGGATATGATCTCTCTTGAAAGAAAAGGTGTCGGTCTGTTTATCCCATCGATGGCCTAGGAAATCTGTACTCTTTTCTTCGGTCTTGTCCAAATTTGAGTCGTTGTAGTGCCACCCTTTTACTTGGAATTTTCCTTTTGCTAGGATTGCATCTATCTCATCGGTGATACCCTTTGCTTCCTTGACATTGCTTCTAGAACCTCCCATATCATCTACATAGATATTCTTTAACAGTTCTTGACTTCCATTTGGATATTCTTCTTGTGTTGCTTTGGCAAGTGTGATGATACACCCGGTTGCGATGTCGGGCGCCGGTTTATCGCCAAAGTTTAACCTTTGCCACTGATAAATTGTTGGCTTCAGACTGGACATTTTCCTGAAGAGGAACCTATGGAAGACTTGATCTTCAGGATGCACTGTAACCTGGTTAAACATCTTCCTAATGTCTCCTGCGTATCCAATCTGGTCCCAACGCCAGGCCATTAAGACAGTAGTTAAGTCGTTGATAT